TTATTATAAAATGCGTCGTTATCGAAATGTTTGAGTAGCGACATTAAAATGGGGCACCGAGTTCAACATAAACCTTAATGTTCGAATAGCCTCAAGTGCAAATTCAATTCTCTGTGCATCGCTGATCTTTCAAGCACCTGACAACCGCAGTGTCATGAAATTTATATTACCGGTGTTTAACCGAGTGGGGATTAATTTATTCACCTGTTGATCAATCGATGCAGACAGATAAATTCATTGAACGTGTCGAATTTATGTTTCATTGAATGAACATTTCATTATTGAAGTTACCACATTGCTCCTCATTACTGAAGATCAAGCGAACGCGAGGTGTGGGAATAAATTGCAGAGATAGTGTTTCTACGTTCGTAACTAAAATATACTAAGTGACATATAAATGCGAACACCCAGTTTAAATGGTTTTATTTTAATAAAATTTTGTATAAGTACTTAATGAAGCATAATAAGTAAATGATAAAAATTCTTTACTGCGGCTGATATATTCATTTTTAGAGCGTTAGTGAATTAAAAAAAAGCAGTATAAAAACCGGAATGTCCAACTGATAAGGCTGAAAATTTTTTCACTTGTTATTTACAGTAAGATAAATAAATTCACCAACTTTTATTAGAATAAAACCATTTAAACGGGGTGTTCGGATTGATATGTCACTTAGTATATATCCTTGAATCTGCAGTTTCGAGGATAATCTGAATCTTTTTTGTTTGACAATATTTGCTTTATCTCCAAAAATAAAGTGGTGGGGGTATTCAAAGGTTTCCGTAAAAAACATCCTGTATCTTAGAAACGGCGAAGCCGATTTTAACAAACTTGGGCTAGTTGAAAAGTGCTATTCTTGGACTACAAATGTTACAATATTTGAAGTTTTGCTAGTTGTACATGCGGCCGCTAGAGGGCTTTTTCGACATACCTACAGAAACGGTTAAAATGTAGCCACATAACGTCGAAATAAGCTCGCGAAAACCGCATATGGATATCTTGTTCCTAAACTAAAATTCAGGCCAAAGATACGGAAACCCCTTAAATTTTTATTTTTTTAACTATTTTTTCTTGAATTTCTTTTTATTATTAAGTTGTGGCCCCGAAAAGGATCGATTTAAAAAAAGGTTTTTAATACCCCCGTAAATGCTCGAAATGCTGACTATCACGCTCTATGCTTCATCGTTCGTAAAACATCGTTTTGATTAGGTATTTGTTTTGTTGTACTCCATGGCAAATTTACTTTTTCGTATATACCCATAATGAATATGCATTTAAACAAAAAATATGTCTTTTATTTTTAGCATTACTTATTTAACTTTAGCGATATTTTGTGATATTTTCGAGGGAGATTTTATTCTAATGAATGAAAAGGAACTCCAGAAAAATTAGTTTAAAAAAATAAAAATTTAGGAGATTTCTTTGGCCTAAATTTTAGGTTAGAAACAAAATATCGAAATGCGGTTTTTTCGCGAGCCTGTTAAGACGTCATTTAGCTACTTTTTCATATAAAAAATCGTACTAATGCATTGAATGTTTTTGAGAAAATTAGTCATTTCTGTCAGCCACATGTGAACTAACAAAATTTCAAATATTATACTATATATATATATATATATATATACACAGGGTGACTTTGAAGTTGAGTCATTAATTTTCAGATAATGATTGTAGAAGGAAGATAAACCAAAATATGTGTGTAAAAATAAAAAAAAATTACCTTGTTTTATAAAGTATCCTCCCGACAAGTATTTCAGTGCGGACCTGTATTTGATCGTGAGGTCTTGGAGCACCGGCATGCCGTCCCCTGTGAGGTCTTAAGTCACCTGATTCACGAGCCCGTTGTACTACATTAACAAAGGCACGAGGGGTTGGTTGCACTCGATTGGGAAACCGATCCGCATAAACATGTGCCATTTTTTATTTCGTTTGAGCCACGCAACAGACACCACTATTCACTCACGCGTTACCGACTGACACTGACTGTTTACAACTGAATAAAATAATTGTAAAAACATCGTTCCAAATTCTTTCGCCTTTTTGTTTCCGATACGATGAACCGATAAGGCGGATTATATCCGTTGTTGCCAAACACGAGCACATAATATTATTATTGAGACAGGGCGGTACTCAAACTTCCAAAGGGCTATAACTTTGTTACTTTAATTTTACCAGAAAAATGGTAAAGGAAAAAAACATTTATTTATTTTGATCAGATCTACTCACTGTTAAAATAAACGACTCAACTTCGAAGTCACCCTGTATATATATAATATTTTAGTTATAACTTTTTCTGCAAGCTTCTAAGATAGATATCTTCCAGATACAGTACCTTGCATTCTTAGTTGGCCACCCTGTACATTGTTCCCATTACGCTTGGACCTCTCACTCTTCCTAAAAACCATTGGGGAAAGCCCGGTTTGAAGCATCAGACCTAGCTCAGAAAATTCATTTGTACTAGTTTTTTGCAGTTGGTCTAGAACGCAAAAACGTTAATATATCAATATAATTTTCCATCCAAAGTGTATCCCTCTTGTGCGGTGAAAAAGCGTTCTTTGTCGGCGTAAGTGATATTCATGATTTCTCAGGAAATTGGATTCCAACCTACCGAAAAACTGACGCCTAAAAATAAATTGAAAGTCTAATCTCACTGTGCCGATGCATTCCAGATTATCTTCAGTACTCGTACGCATCTTCTAAGCTTGATAAATTCTTATTGAATTCCACGACGTAGGATTTACTCCATCATTTTCTACAGAAGTAATCATTTAATATTATACAGGGTGTCCGCAAAGTTGGGGTTTTCCTTTTCAGAAACAACTACCCTTGAAATAACAACGGTAATGTGTAGTGAAACGAGGGCGACCAAGTAAAAAAAAATAAAGGAAAAAGTACTCACTCTCCAGTTGACGAGAAGGGCTAAGTACGTCTCTGCCCGAAATCACACCGCTCCAACAGAAAATGAAATCAGCTGATGCGTTACCGAGCAGACGCAGAAACCACATTGATTGTCTTACACTTAATGGCACATCTTCTAACAAGGAAGGCAAAATGTTGCGTAAAAAGTCTAGGTATTGCATCCCGTCCAATCGATTTGGGAGAATAAATGGTCCAATGAGCATACCGTTCACCATGCCAGCCCAAACATTCACCGAAAATGTTTGTTGAAAATGAGCCCGACGGACAGCGTGCGGATTTTCTACTGACCAAACATGAGTGTTGCGAAATTTATTCACCCCATTACGCGTGAACGTAGATTCGTCTGTCACCAATATGCACTTCAAAAAGTCCGGATTATTGTCATGTTGATGCAACAACCACTCACAAAACCGCACTCTTGCTGGAAAATCGTCAGGTTGAAGGGCTTGTACACGTTGGACGTGAAACGGATACAGCCCCCCTTCACGCAGCGTTTGCCACACTTTAGTTTTTGATACTTGCACTTCTCTAGCCACGTCTCTAGTGCTTGTTGAGGGATTCTCGTCTACGCGATTACCTCTACACGCGTGACCGTAACCGTCGGTTGAAGGTTGCATACTGACCTGACACACTGACCCCGACCCAGTTCTGTCGTCGGGTTGAGGCAGTGACCTTGTACCAGTCGGTGATGTCGCGGCTACAGGACGGTATTCAGATATTTTTGATGTTGCAGAGCCCTTTATCTCGGTTCCCTTAAGACATTGGTGTATATGGTACTAAGAAAAATTGCACACACACACGTCGTGTAAAGGAAAACCCCAACTTTGCGGACACTCTGTATATTATATGTAGAGGCAAATTTATTTGTTCTGAGCAATTTTTATTACTCTTGATCCTTCTCCTGTAGATCCCCTAAAATCCTATTTAGAGCGAATGCAACAGCTCGTCGACTACGATGGCTGTACATCGACAGTCAACACAGTTTTGTATGGCATTCCACAAGGACCTGTCCTTGACCCTTTGCTGTTCTTGTTCTATATAAACGATCTACCGAATTGTCTTTCTAATAGTATGAACAGTAAAGTTCGAAATAATAGTCAGAATGGTGACCGCCCAAATGTTGTGAAGTTTCTTGGTGTGTATGTCGACTACTCTTTGAACTCGGATGAACATATAAAACATTATAACTTCACGGATTCTCAATAGTTATATTTCATGCTATATTTTTCTTGCTTTTATTAAATATTACTTATTATAGTTTTATCTCTTATGCCATTCATTCATTGATTTTACGTTAGTTTGTTATAATTTTATATTTTATACTTTTTATTATCACCCTTTTAACCATAGACCTGTGTATAATCTGTAGTCTTTGTTATTATACAGGGACTTTGAAGTTGAGTCATTAATTTTCAGATAATGATTGTAGAAGGAAGATAAACCAAAATATGTGTGTAAAAATAATAAAAAAAGTATTTCAGTGCGGACCTGTATTTGATCGTGCGGTCTTGGAGCACCGGCATGCCCTCCCCTGTGAGGTCTTAAGTCACCTGATTCACGAGCCCTTTTTACTACATTCAGCATTTTCGTAAATATGTGCCATTTTTTATTTCGTTTGAGCCACGCAACAAACACCACTATTCACTCACGCGTTACCGACTGACACATCGACTGAATACAACTGAATAAAATTGTCATTGTAGTAAAAACATCGTTTCAAATTCTTTCGCTTTTTTGTTTCCGATGCGATGAACGGACAAGGCGGATTATATCCGTTGTTGCCAAACACGAGCACATAATATTATTATTGAGACAGGGCGGTACTCAAACTTCTAAAGGGCTATAACTTTGTTACTTTAATTTTACCAGAAAAATGTTAAAGGAAAAAAACATTTCTTTTGTTCAGATCTACTCACTGTTAAAATAAATGACTCATCTTCGAAGTATGTATTGTTTGTCATTTATGTTCTTCTTGCTACTAAGCTTCTATTATATTGACTTGTGTCAGCACGTTCTGTGTAATAACACCAACAAACTATTATTATTATTATTATATTTAAATCTCATACTTTTTGTTTATGTTACAGGCAAAACTAGAAACCAAGGCCTTAAAAGCAAAACGTCCAGGTTTTACGGATGACCGCTATAACGAGACATCTTACTACATTGAAAATGGTAAGTGAATGATTTTTCTAGACCCGAAATGTACTGTAATAAATTTGTAAACTTTACTGCTATAGTGGAACACCTTAATTCGTTTACGACTAACGTTATTCTGGTTTAAACCCCGCGTACTAACTTTTGCTTCGCGCATTTTGTCAAGAAAGGGATGAAATAGGACTCAAACCCCAACCAGTATCCACGTCCATAAATTCTTGGGATGCTTGTTTTAAAGCAGCTTTACGCTTTCCGGTCGAAGGACAATTAGGGTGCTGTATTATTTTTTCATTTGTTCCTTTTTTACCTGGTTCTACCGAGGCGAAACCTGGCATATTTATTTGTGAGCGGTGGTAAAATACAACGTTTTCCGGAAAAACGGCTGCGGACAGATGCAGGGAGATATACAAAATATTTTAGGATTTTATAGTAAATCGAGCGTATTTTTTTAATTTTAAAAATAAATGATTCCTTTGTAATCCTTATTCAAAACATAAACCATAGTTTGTTGTTAATTGTGATTACCAAGAAGGTACAAGGCAAACATCATAAAGACCTTTCCCAGACCTCTAGTTCCCTTTTTGAGAAATACTGCTGAAGTCGATAATATAATAATGGGCTCTAATTTTACATATCTACCTGTGCCTCATGATTATTAGTTCCGTGAAAAATCACTGCGGATATAAATAAAGAAAATACGAATGACTAGTTGCTCCGTCAACAAGAAAACTCACAATGACACATTTGAATGATGAATGAGGCATATACGCATCTTATAACAACGTATGGACGTTGTCAATTGTTAACCCACAACTTTTGAGTGATATCGAATGTTGCCTGAAACAAATACAATCTCAATGTTAACCCAAATCAACTCACCAGGATTCTCAATCTCTTGCTTTTATTTAATTACTTTGATTTAGTTTAAAACACTTGAAATTATTCCTTACTAATCCATCTTCATAAAATAAACCATAATCCGATGATAATTTTATTACTAAGATCGTACATGGCAAAACACAAAAGGATGCAAGTATCCACTTTGCCCTGATCCCTCGTCTTGCTTTTCGTTCAGGAATAGAAATACAATTTCTTAGTTAGATATTGTGGTCAGTAATATAATAGGTTATAGGGGCGGCTCGCCCTTAAGTTCTGCAGAGCTGCAGAACTGCCAAAACTCTTGTCTTAACAGAAAAAAGCAGTAGTAGTTTGATCATTATTGATTTTCCATGTTATCACTCAACTAAAGCAATACCGGCAACGCTGCCCCCGCAAAACACAGCGTCGAGTCTGTTTCGTATTGAGAAAGCATTATAATCGACCAATTGTGTACTTGTCATTTTCGTCGCGACCGCAGCGTAACATTACTCATGGGCCACTTGAAAAGGGTCTGTGCACTACTTCGAAACAAGCCGCACGCGCTTGCTTTTGTCTCTCTCTACTAAAATCAAATGCGCCATTTAAGCGTAAGCATGTGCTGCACGTTATACAGATCCGTACAGATCTAATGAGAAATACGATATCTGATTGGTCGGTCGGTGCTCGGTATAAAGTTTTGCGGAGCATTTGAATTGGCGCTAGAACCTTAAGCGAACACATAAAAAATGCTTCAATATTTAAAGATCCATTAATAGGAAATTTCCCTAACACACTGATTTCTCAAAGCTATGATGGAGCCTGTTTTCGTGTTTTGGTTGACATTTTTTCATCATGTCATGCCTCACGCCGACATCTTGTTCAACCAGTTGCAGAAGAGAAAAACCGAGCCAGCGCAAGTTAAAACGGCTATCGATAATTTTGAAAAATGTATTTTCGATGTGAGAAATAAAATTGATGACATAATAAATGAAGCCAAAAGTATTTGCACTGAACCCCAGGCAACAAAAGGAGACGACGTAATAATAGCAGTCACGATCACTGAGTTGCCGCATTAGAAGTATGCGAAAATATAGTGAATTCTGTAAATGACACATTCCAATTCAAAGATCAGTCGGTAGCCGCATCCCTTTTTTTCCCCCGAATACTTTGGAGAATACTGTGGTAAGTTTATAATAATAATAATAATAATAATAAACCGTCTTTTATTAGAAAAAACTAATTACAGATAATGCATATATTATTATCTATAATTAGATTAGTGAGCAGCTAATGGCGAAGTATAGCTATGGCAGCTATTCTTACACTTAACCATTAACTGCATAAGAATAATAGATGGTAAAAAAGTACAGCTGTAAAGAAAATAAATGGCGGAAAATGCCCATGTAACTGATTACAACCTAAATAAAAATTAGCTTAAAAATATAATGCTGGAGAAAAACACCTTTAAGAATCACCATTGAGCAGAAGAGCTCTTAAGTGTTTTTTAAAACTATACAGTGGTAGGCTTTTTGTTCTGTAATCTAAGCTATTGTACAACATGCATGCATTATATGAGAAGGACCTGTTAAAAACAGATGAACTATGAAGTGGCATTGTTAAAGCGAATGTGTTACGGATATGTCGTTGATGAACATTATACCTAAAAATTAGTTTTTCACGTAAATAAGTTGGAGTTCCAGAGACAAGTAACTTATGTATAAAGGTTAGATAGTTGTATTTAACTAAATCTGTCATCTTTAACCAACCTATTAAAGGGTAACGATCCGAAACATGATCAAATTTTCTTAAACTAAATATGAATCGTACGCAGTTATTTTGTACTACAGATATTCTGTTACGACTTGCAACATCCAAACAAGGATGATAAACTAGATTGCAATAATTAAAAATAGATAACACAAAAGATTCACACAACTTTTTTCGCACTTTAAAATTCAGCAAATTATTGTTCGCATACAGAGTTCTCAGACGGATGTAAGAGGTTATCTAAATATTCACGAAGCCGTTTTCATCAATAAACGCACCTAAACACTTGACACTTTCAGAAAAAGGAAGATTTTGATTGTTAATAGATATACTCAAGGAAGCTTTGACTTCGGCTCTTCTGTGATTAGGACAAAAGAGCACAGCAGAAGATTTAGAAGCATTAACGGTTAGGCTGTTATTGGCTGAGTAGGTGCAAATAGAGTCAATGTCCTCGTTAATTTCCATAGTAGCAGTCTGGAGGTTCTCAGGATAAAAGAAGTAAAGCAGTTGAGTGTCATCCGCATAAGACTGTAGCTGTGAATTTTGAATGGACGGCTACATAAATTAAAAATAACAAGGGTCCTAAAATTGAGCCCTGAGACACACCCGAAGTGATAAAGCGCTCATTTGACAAAACTCCAGAAAGTGAGACGCGCTGAGAACGGTGGGTTCGGTATGGTTTAAAAAACTGCAGTGCTATTTTATCAAAACCATAAAATTTTAGCTGAGCGTACATCAGTGCGTGATCAATTCTATCAAAGGCCTTGGAGAAATCCAGTGAAACTAAGGCGACACACATTTTTTTATCAAGGGCCCTGATGATCTTGTCCACTAAATTAAGAAGAGCAGTTATAGTACTGTATGATTTTCTAAACCCAGACTGATGTACTGGGAGTATGTCACTTGACTCTAAAAAATCTATGATTTGCAAATAAATGATTTTCTCCAAGATCTTTGACAAAACACTCAAAATACTCAAAATACTGATGGGCCTAAGATCCGAGAAGTCGGTGGGCTTCCTGACCTTAGGTATTGGCCTTACTATTGCTCCTCTCCAAGATTTAGGAACGTAGCCCTTCTCAAGACACAGATTGATAATATGGGTCAAGTAAGGTAGTATAATAGGGAGAGATAGCTTAATCATAAAAAGAGATATACCGTCAATACCCGTTGCATTTGACTAAGGCCACTCACAACAGTTTTGATAGTAGTAGGCTCAACCAGAGTGAAGGAAAATCTCCGATTGCCAATCGTGTTATTGTGATAAAAATTGAATGTTGCTTCGTCGGGCTGAGCACAATGAAACACTGATGCAAAGTAATCGTTTATAGCGCTTGGACCATTGAGGTGAGACGGAATACTTTCAGTCCTTGTCTTTGAATTAAAAACACCCATATTTATGTTATCTAAAGCTCTCCAAAGTTCTTTCGACATATGATGCTCTTGTAAGAAAGATAGGTAACCCGCTTTTTCACGCCTAATTGACGCAAGAGCAAAATTACGTTTTTCTTTGTAGCTTAACCAGCTCGATACTGTGTTACCTTTTTACTGATGACAAGTTGGAAACTACCTGCTTGGCTTATCCCGAATTAGAAAAAAGTCGTTTAAAGACAGAGTTGTCGGTTATTTATGCACGGAATGATTGCCGAGATTTACATGGAACTCTGTCTCTTTTGATATTTTTGATACTGAATAGTTTGGAGCAGAGTTCCCCAAATTTTTTTGTGTCGTAGACCCCTTGCCATGTTTTTCCGTGTTGGGTAGACCCCCTACTTACCTCATATTGATTTCCTGTAAATTTCTAACTGAAGTGAAGTTTAGTGTTAAAAACTTAAAGTAAAAACACATGTTAATTTATACATTTATTAATTTAATTTAAATTGAAACTACTCAAAATAAAATTTTGTATCTGTTATGTAAAATAAATAAACAGGTGTCTGACTTTTTTTTATTTTTTCCCTCTTATTTTTTTTTTCAATGCGGGCACTTATTCCCAATGCGGGCATTTATTGGTCAGACACCAATAAACATAAAATAAACTATAAATAAAATAACATAAGCAATAAGTCAATATTTTTAGTGAGAATAATGAACCTGATGCTTTAATAATAAATTATCAACATTTGGCGTCAATTTTGTAAGGGTGAATCTTAAATCTCCTCGGCTAATGATGTCCAGTCTGTTTCTTTTTTTCGTTAGGAGATTGGTAACAGCGCTGAAGCCGCTTTCCACTAGGTATGACGATGGAAAGGAAATTAAAAATTTCCTCGCTATATTCCATAATACGGGATAAGTAACGGGTATGTTGTTTTGCAGCCAGAATTGCTGATATCCGTTTTTAAACTGAACCTTAAGTTCTTCGTTTGTACTTAGTTCAGTCAGTTCCTCTTGTA